CCCCTCCCCCCTCATCCCAGCGGCCCAGGTATGTAGAAACCAGTTTCTGGGACCTTCAAACGTGAATAAAAGCCAGGCCAAACGAGCATAAAAAGGAAGGTGGTGGTTTCTGCAGTACAGTTCTGACCTTGAGCGAGGATTACTTAACACTTACAGAAAGTCCCAAGGTTTTCCTATGTCTGAATAGGACTACTTGTTGAGAGTAATTTAATTGTTTTGTACCCCCCCCCCTCCCAAACCACACACACGCACACGCACGCACTTGCACTCATATACAACCCCCTCCCCTCCCCCTCTTTCTCTCTCTCTGTCTCTCTGTCTCTCTCTCTCTCTCTCTCTCTCTCTCTCTCTCATTCCGGTCCAAAAAGTTATAAAATGTTATTTCAATGTTTCAGCCGTTTCCCTAACTGGTCCTAACACTGGACCGTCGCTGAAATCCTTCTACGTATAGATGTAATGGGCTTCTAACATTTAAATTACACTGTCTCTATCTTCTGTAAATTAAGTAACCCTTTGGTTTTCTGTTTACTTAGCCCCTCTTGCATCAAGTAATGGGCGATTTGGCCATTTTTTTTAAAATCGTGTTTTTGTTTTTTTTTGTTTTTTTTTTTTTGGGGGGGGGGGTAGCTCAGTCAGAGACAGGTATTAGGTCTATTTAATGCTCCACTTGAAAATACGACATGTAGGTACGTGGGTGGAACGAAAGTTTCAGACTCTTAAAAGTGGCAGAAGTGGACAATGGCTGTTTTTTAAATTAACAGGACGTACTAAGTTAGAGTAGACCTACCATGTACATAATCTAATTATTGTAAACTATGTACCTGAAACTTTGGTTAGTAGTCGCCCTCCCTAGGCTGTATGTGACTTTAAAATACACACACAAAAAACAACAATTTGCAGAGCAACTTAAACGGACAGACAGATGAAGTTTCTGTTTGGATGTAGTATCCTTTTCAGCCAGAGTTGGTCTTTGCAGACAAAATCAAAGCCCGCACCTCCTTAATTTCTATTATCTCTTATCTTTAGGAGCCTAGAAACACCCATTATTTATTTTTTATAGAAAGAAAATGATCTGATAGTTGGAATGTGGCTTGACTCAAGAGCTTGTTCTTTCTCCTGCTTGTCCTTTCATCTTGCCACTTAAACATTCCTAGTGGGGGAATCGAGGTCGTACTGCAAACATCTGTACTGCTTTCTCGCTCCCATGTACATATTATTATACATGTATAGGTAACCTGGGCCCTCCTGTATCTCTGCTTTATATATATATATATAAAATATATATTTACGTACTTTTCATGGCAGGGCAATGTTGACCTGTGCTGTCCTTAACTAACTCCATAGTGCTTGACTAGATCGCACCGGGATGCTCACATTATTCAAAAGAGAGTTTTAATTTTCAATTTGGCTTCGAGTGTTGTTACAAAATGTACAAAATTACGGGATCTTTTATGGTGTCTTTTTTTTAACATGCCTGCTCTCAAGGCACACTTTTCTTCACTAGGAAAGACAACCCCACATCCCCATCCCTTTCCATAGGCCTACACACACATACATAGGCCTATGGCCTACATATATTAGGCCTACACAAACACACACATACACACACACACACACACACATACACACAC